AGGTAGGTAGGTAGGTAGGTAGGTAGGTAGGTAGGTAGGTAGGTAGGTAGGTAGGATGGTAGGATAGGATAGGATACATTGATTGATTGATTCAGTTTGGATGCTGGCAAATTCCCTTGGTGCCTATGTAGCTCTGCTTTTGGTGTCTGCTGCTAATGAAAAATCACAAAATATAGTGATTTTGTAACTTTAAAACACATCAAAATTAGCATTCAAGATATTGCTACATTTTCTTTCCCATCCAACTTCTTTAAATTTCAAGTTACAGATCAGACAGGAATAAAAGGTCCAGTCACATAAGAAATAAAAAGGAAACTTAATACTTAAAACATTAATGCCAATTTTCTTCAGAGGCACAGTGTATGAGCTTGCAGTTAATAAGTTATGTGAACTCTTGTGTGTGTGTTGTGTACTAAAGTTAGCTACAGAGTGAAAAACTGCTTTACAATTAAGCATTTTATATGCTCTCTTCACTTCTGTTTATTCAAAGACTAGTATTGCAGATTCCAATCTGGGTCAGTCTGGGACCAAAGGTTTAGTCTCCTGAGCTTTTGGACTTGTGTTGGAGCCCATCCTCAGGGAACTTCTCTTTATGGGAATATTTGCTTTGGACTATGTGTGGTATTTATGCGGTGCCCGATTGGGTATGGCTTATTGGTTGATTGAGGTGTTGATCGCCAGCTATTAAGTCATTGACTGTTGTTTCCTTGTGCTGCCAAGTCCTCCTTTCCTAAGTACCTGATAAAATTAGCATTGCAGATGATTACTGACATGCAGAAAGAGGATCCAACTATTTTCAGCACACTTCATTATATTATTTTTCTCAGAATTTCCCATAGAGCATTCAAGACACTTGAATTTCATCAAATTTCAGTTTGCACTGCAGGTAAGACTCAAGTACCTGTAAAGTGGGAGTGGAATAGCTCTATTTTCAGTAGCATTTTTCATTATCTTGACAAGCAGGGAACAGACAGATCAGTAGAAAATAAATTATATTTCAAAATCTTTAGTGGTGATCCCAAGAAAGTACAATACTATTTCAGAACAGTATATTGTGGAGAACTTAGAATGTTGCTTTAGATGCAGATGGATTCATCTTATGAAACACGAAATTATTATTAATATTCAAATACATTTCAACTTCTTGAGTGTCTTTGATAATCAATAATACAATAGTACAATAATATAATAGCAGAGTTGGAAGGGACCTTGGAGGTCTTCTAGTCCAACCCCTGCCTAGGCAGGAAACCCTATACCATTTCAGACAGATGGCTATCCAACATCTTCTTAAAGACTTCCAGTGTTGGGGCAATCAGAACTTCTGAATCCATATCACTTGCAATGTTAATGTAAAAATAAGTTGTATATTGACTGACTCAGACGCCTGTTGCAAATTTTATCTCTTAACAAGGAAATGGCGTGAAAAAATAGCTAACATAAATAGTCATTAATAGTACAGTACTCCATCAATTTGTCTATAACTTCTTTTAAAGTCTTCCAAGTATATAGTTATGTCTGTCTCTTGCTAACACTACACATTACGTAGATTATAAAGCATGTGAAGAAATTCATTATCAATGACACACATGTTCCAGTGCTGAGTTTCATTCAACGACCTGAGTTCTAGCATTACAACATGGGAGACAAACTTCTCCTTTAATTTTCTCCATTTCATGATCGGCTTAAGTCTATTGCTCTAGAAATAATATTAAGTCCACAGTATTGAATTCTTTCTGGGGTTTAGTGTAATCTACAGCAGATCTGTGAAGTAAGAACTGTAAATCAGTCAGGACCCTGGAAAAATAAAGATTATTCATAATAATCAAAGCATTTACATTAAAATAGATCTACTATGACTGTGAGGTATTTCACTAGCTTGTTCTTGATCAAGAATCTGATTGGTATTCAGGGTGACAACATCTCTTGTTTGTACTGGCTGTAAAGTGATTGGGAACCCCTCCAAGATCATATAAAGGGCATTTTCATTAGACTAATCAACTGCACCTGGTTGCGTTAATCCAGCCTTTGGGCAAGAGACGATTACTGAGCACTCTTTTGATGCTGAGAGACATCACTCTGGTGAATAATTCATAGCCTCCCATGAACTGCTGCAGGTGCTCTTGCACTTGAAGAAATCAAAGCAGAGTTGGGGGGGAGTGCATGCTGAATTGGGATCATTATTTAACTCCGAAAAATAGAATTATGCAAAACAGCTTTATCATTTTAGAAAGTTAAAAGGGAGGAGAGCTAAAACTATTCAACGCATTCTTGGAGAAAGTCCTCAAGGAAACGAATGCTTGCTCGTGCTGATCTTGAGATGGGATAAGACTGAACGGCTTAATAAGCTTTTTAATGCTGTTTTCCTTGGCTTTGTAGATTGTGCTTCTTCCTAATTGGCATTAGTCGTCCAAGGTCACGTTCAGTCCTTTTAGATGACCGTGCAGTAGTATTTTGCCTTGCAAACAGTGTTCTTGGAACTGACATACAACTGCATCTGTCTTTGAAATTTCAGAGCCCAAACAAAGTTTAGAAATGAAATACAATGAGAACCCATTGCACTGGACCAAAAGTTAATTTGTAAAATTAAGTGTGTAACAGGAATTGTCCTGTTACAAGCACAACAAACTAGCTCTGGGCTTCTTATCCTAATTAGCTTAAATCCTTCTTTCTGGTTGACATCTGTTAAGGCAGAAGCAAGTTGTATAAGCTTTCTTAATCCCCTAGCTCAGTCGAAAATGCCACAGATATTTTTCATAGGGGAAATTGTTAAAGGGGAGAATACACTGACCAAGCTGGGACTGAAGGTTCCTTAACAAATAGGCAATCTGCAAAGCAGTGGTTCTTCAAGATGAAGCTTTCCTCAAAAAATGCCGGCTCCCAACATCAGCTAAACTTGTAAGTTTTCGTTCTTTTTTCATCTTTGCTTCATCTATTGACTATCTTTCAGTAGTAAAGAAACTTGGGAAGGTAGAGCACAATGGGTTGTACTCCTTCACGTAGTGATATTGTTAAGAATCCTGAAACAAAGTTGATGGATAAAAGAATTGCGTTAGTTGACCAAGGAGGTGAAGGTTTTTCATTTCCTTTGCTGATCAAAGGCTTCTCTTCTTGTGATACTGAAGGAATAAGACAGGAGGAGGCTCAAGTTAAAGATCACTTCTTCAAAAATTTATCAAATGAAGAGAAGGATGTTAATTTCTATTCCTCATCTGAGGATCCTTTGCTATCTGAGCTGGACCAGGAAGAGAAAGAAATTGAAAAGATAGTCTCAGAGACTGAGATAGCCATTTCTGAATCGATGAAGTTAAACAAAGGCAAACATATGGCAGAAGCAATTATGATTAAAAAGCAAAAAAGTTCTGAGTCAGAAAAGGTTGATGCTACAATGGGAGATAAAAGTGAAAGCAACAAAAATCAAAAACACAAAAATGGGAAGAAGCAAAGGAGCAGGCAGGGAAAACCAGGGCGTCCTTGCAAAAGTAAAGAGAAATCCAGCCCTTCTGTATGTCAGCCTGAGAAAAAGGTAGATTTCCCAGACGCTCTTGTTAAGGCCCATCAAAACGCATATGCATATCTCAATCCTAATATTGGCAAATATGAGGCTATCTTATGCATGACAGATCAGGTTACCGAAACACAATTAATTGTGCAACAGTTAGTGAACTTTTTGCTTTTTCGGTTTGACGGAATCAACCACCTTTTCGAAGAAATTATTGAAGATGGAGAAGACCTCCTCAAAGAAGTGGGAGGAAACCTAGCTTGGTCATCTGGCAAAGAAAATCCAAAAGAGCAGCCAGATCTTTTGCAACAATTACTACAATACACTGTCAACAAAATGCAGTTGTTAAATGGAACTGTGGCCTCTTTAGCCTCTGATGTCCTGCTGGAGTCTTGCAGCTTTTTGCAGTCTGCAAGTACCAGCTTAGAAGAAAAAATAAAAGCAAAGCAACGTCTTGATGAACACTTGGTCAGGATAATAAAGAATCTTGAAGAATCTGCAGTTGGATCTTCCAATCATTACGTTGATGATATGACTCTTTATTCTGAAGACAGTGGAATAGGCATTGACAGTGAATCAGTGAAAGATTTGAATATTATTGATAGGCATGGAATGGAAACAAATTGTGAGACCATTCACAGAACTCCATGCAACTCCAGGAATGGCATAAGCATGTCCCAAGACTGTGTGCTGGAAAAACAGTTAAAAAATATATCTTACTCATCTCCACAGATAAGGAGTTCAATATCATCATCTGAGGTAGTATCAAAACGTAGATCCACTTTTCTGCAACATCAAAATATCTTGAAAACCTTTAACTCTGATAAAACCCATGAAAGTAATAGCTTCAAACAGAGTGAGTTCAGTAGCATTTCCTCCACAAATGAAGACAATAGTGCCAACAGTTTATCTGAGGAAGAATGTGACTCTGTAAGTCTGTCTGAAAAAGAAAAAAATGCTGTATCTAAAAGATCTATATCATTTCCTGCAGCACAAGAGAATAGACAGAAGGCTTCCACCAAACAAATAGATAGCACAGATAATGAGATAATTCTCAAAATGAAAGATGCCATTAGTGAAAAGATAACATTTGTTCCAGCTAAATGTCGGCAAAGGGCATGGATAGAAGATGAAAATGGAAAAGAATTTCGGAGACCTAGTACAGCCTCTGGGGGCCAGAAGACCCAGATTAAGCAGAAACGGACTAGGTCTGAGGTGTCTCTCAAAAGTCATGCTGAGGATCCCACTCTTTTGGAACTTCAAAGAACTCAGAAAGATCTTGACAGAAGATTAGAATTATTTTATCAATTAAATGGAAAAGAGGAAATCAGTGATACATTGAACCCAAAAGAATTGTTTCAATATTTTGAGCCTGTTGCTCACAGAACTTCCACTAATAAACTGAAAGCATCTCTTGCTAAAAACTTCAATATATTGCCTGATTCTTCATGTAGAAACAATGAAAATGTAAAATGTAAAAAACCGACCACAAGTGGCATGTCTTCAGAAGATCTGATATCTAGAAAAGAAAATTATTCTGGGACCTCCAAACCAAATACTCCACCATGTAAATCTGTGAAAAAATTAATTGAAACATTTAGCCCATCTGAAAGTCTGGTGAAACCCTCAAACTTAAGAACATTGGGCCCAATAAAATGTGTCAGAAAGTTTGGACTTCAAAGCATTTCTCCCAACCTTCCACTTCCCAAAGGATTTGTGCCCATAAATCACAAACCTAAAGTTTCACCATTAGAAGATACCAGTTGCAAAAACATCAGAACTAGACATTGTACTCTTAGTGACAATAGTTCAATGGAATTTGCAAATAGCCTTGATATAAATGAGGATTCTGATGAGATTGATATAGAAAACCTACCTCCACCACCACCGGAAATGTTAATGGAAATGTTACTTGAATCAACCGAATGTTCAGGAGATATAAAGATGGAAGACAACTATTTGGAAGAGGTTGATAAGACTACCAGAACAAATGAACAGTGCACCACCAAGAAAATTACTCAGATTTCTCCACGGATGAAACTTTCCATCTGTTCACTTGATCTGTTACCAAATAAGAATTTTAGCAATTCCCCAGCTGTCAACAAAACACCAAATAACGAGGTAGATACCATACCAAATAAATATGTCTTGGAGTTGAGTGGACCTTATATGTCTGATTGCCGCAAAAGAGATGATGAAATCGAAAAAGTTGCAGATCTATATAAACAGTCTTGTAAAATAATACCTCTTCCAAATCCTAAAGAAGCATCAGAATCGAATGGGAGCAATCAAGGAAATATAAGTAACAGTGAAGCTCCTTTACCAGAAAAGCAAAGTTCTCCTGATTTATTAAAGAAAAATGAGAAAACGTCTGGTTTTATCAGCCGAGTATCACCAGTAAGAATACCACCTTCCTCACCTCCTAATCAGAAGAGGTTTCCAAGTCCACCACTGTATCACAGAGCTAGTCATCAAGTTCCTTCTCCAATTCTACATCAGCAACCTAGTCCCTCAACTCACTCCAGGTCAGCAAGTCCCACCGTACAGAGGAAAGTGATTTCCCCACCACCCCAGCAAAATCTCTCTAATCCTCCAGTAATACGCAAACAACAAAGTTCCCAGAATCAAAAGGTGTCCAGCCTACCATCCCATGAGCAAGAACCTCCTTTTGGAACTACTCCGTCTATTTCCCCATCTCTGTTTCATGGATGTTTACAAAACTATATGAACTCTAAGGACGAGCCACATTCTGCCTCCCCAAAGATTGTTAGCAATGCTCAGTCAATATTTTGCCCAGCTACTTCTTCTTTATTTGAAGCCAAGCCAGTAGTGTCATCAAACATCAACCCAATGGGAGGGGCAATGGCCCAGCCTGAAGGCTCAACATCTGCAAGGAGAAATAGCATGCACCTCAGGCAACTTGTGGGTCAACAGAGGATGATCAATAGTGCTGCTAGTCCTCAGCCTTGCCTCAGGATGAGCTTCTCTGACCACAGGCCTGAATTCCAGCTTCCACTGCCAGTTTTTGTTACAGCAGAGAATGACCCTGTGCTTAATCAAGCAAGGTAAGAAGCCTTAATGTCAAAACTTTTTCACTGAATTTAGATGTATACCCTGATTGTCAGGATCAGCATGTTTTATAATCCATAGCTCTTTTCTGACAAGCCATTGTTTCCAAGGGGCACATCTCCTTGTGGCACATCTGCACATTGTTTTAATGGTGCATTTTCATCCTGCCCTAATTTCTGACATAGTCAGAGGACACAGGCAGGCTAACATTAGCATAGGCCAGGCTGCTTCATTATCGGGTTTCTTATTGTGAGAAAGGATTTTAAATGTTCTCATCTCTGAAACGAACTAGATGACTATATACCAGATGACTGGTAACTACATTTCACAAAGTTCTGCTGAAGCTAACCTCTTGAAGAAAGCTCTTGAGGAAAAGGTAGGGTGCTGATATAATAAACACATGAGCAAAGATGGAGAAATTTTGCTTATTACTTGAGAATGTTGTTCTTTACTCTACTAGGCCAATAGAGAAAGTTTTCTCTATTGGCCTAGTAGAGCGTACAGTATTTCCTCTTGGTGATGTTACTGTTTTACAATGACTGATACAGTGTGATGAGTTTTCTTATTGTTTCCTTGCTTGTCAACAATCATTATTGCTGATTGTTCCGGAATCTCTTCCTGTGAAGAGTGAGTTCCAATGTTTAAAAATGTAAGAATACTAACAGAACTCCAACTGAAATTGAGCAAATAGTGTAATGCAGCTGCTAAAAAGACCAACACGGTCCTAGGCTACACCAGCAAAAGCATTAAATGCAGATTAATTAACAGTAATTTTCTGTTTTTCTTGGTGGGATTAGGCCACACTTAGAATATGATGACCAGAATAGTTAAGGACTTGGGCACCTCTAACTTACAAAGGAGATATCTAAGAGGATATATGATAGTTGTCCCAAAATATCTGAAAGTTTGTCACCTGCAGAAGAAAGCAAAATTATTCTCTGTTGCAATTGAGAAAATAAGAGCTAGCAAATTGAAATTAAAAGAAAGATATATTTATGCTCAGCAACAGTTCCTAACTATCATTGCTGGACAATGGAAGAGTCTATCAAGAATTGTGATGGTCCCCTTCTTAATTGGAGGCTTTCAAGCAGGAGGTGAAGAAGAGGAGACTTTAATGAATCCTGAACTAAAGAGGAGGTTGGGCTAGATCAGTGTTTCTCAACCTCAAGAACTTTAAGATGTGTGGACTTCATTTCCCCAAATTCCCCAGGATACTGGTTGGGAAATTCTAGTATTTCAAATCTGTACCTTAAAGTTGCTGATATTGAGAAATGCTGTGCTAAATGATGTTCAGGAGTCTCTTCCAACCTATACATTATATGTTTGTATGCATTTTATTTACCAATCATGTTAATGAATGTGACAAAACAGGCACAAATTATTTTTAATAATGGAGGCTCTGTTCATCCTGTGACAACCAGCTAAACCCTTAGGGGAAGTCTACTTGGCGAAAGCTTGGATTCAGCTTGACAACTTGTAAGCAAATAAATAAGAAAAAAAAATGTTTGACAGATTATTACATCAACAAGCTGGGTAGCAGTTTTCTATGGAACATTTATACTCTCATCAGATTCTTCAGTATAAAAAATGAGTCAATGGTCCCAAATTAGAACTGTACAGTACAGTGATGTCCATTAACACTTTCCTGACAGTTTCCTTTCCCTGAATAACAGGGGAATAGACTGTTAGACTTTGAAGCTATGGGAGTCAGCAAATCTCTCTAATGGTATGGAAAGAAGAGGTGGATTACTTTATTCTTCATTTGGTCATTAGTTAAAATCAGACACAGCATGAAGAAACACTACAAAACCATATAGTATTTGAGCATGTATAATGAGGGGGAAAGCTTTTATTTTAGGCTAATGAATACCAGATTGAAATCTTCTACTTGTATAATGGTTCGGCTGAGAGCTGAAAAGGGTTTCTAATCAAATATTTCACTTAATGTTAAGGCATCATGTCCAAACATAACCAGAGTAAATTACTGTCATTGTTGTTTCCAAAATTTCAAGAAACCAGTCATTAAACTCAGGAAAAAGGTTTCAAAATCACAAATCATAAAAGTGTGCTGTTAAACTCTCTTATGTCATAACAAAATATTATTTTAAGGTTAAATCTCTCAATAAAAATCATTCATATTATTAAGCAGATTGCTGTAAATAAAATACATAAAATTTTGATTTATGCATAAAACCTGGAGGTAGATATATGTCCATACTAAGTCTGGACTCTTTATTTTTGGAGTTTAAAAAACTATTCTATCTGACATAATTCAATTTTTTTAAGTTTCCTATCAACATTTCCAAAATATATTATTATGATGTATTTTACTATATGTGAGAATCAACATAAATAGGCATTTTGTAGTATAGTACAATATACAAATAGTATAAAATATTAGACTTTCGTAATAAAATAAACCTAGCTTGTTGATAAGGACTTAAGACAATTTTTAGGAAATGTATATTTGTAGAAGGAATCATTGGGTAATTGTGGTAATAC